ATGGGCTGGTTTGCCTTATATAGGATGTTTTCTCATACTGTGGTAAAACATACACGAAATTTACCATTTTAACTTTTTTAAAGTATACAGTTCAGTGTATAAAGTACATTTACAATATTGTGCAACTACCACTACTCTGTAGTTGCAGAATTTTTTTTTTTTTTTTTTTGAGATGACGTCTTGCTTTGTCACCAAGGCTGGAGTGCAGTAGCGTGATCTTGGCTCACTGCAACCTCCGCCTCCTGGGTTCAAGCGATTCTCCTGCCTCAGCCACCTGAGTAGGTGAGATTACAGGTGCATGCCACCGTGCCCGCCTAGTTTTTGTATTTTTTTTTAGTAGAGATAGGGTTTAACCATATTGATCAGGCTAGTCTTAAACTCCTGACCTCAGATGATCCACCCACCTTGGACTTTCAAAATATTGGGATTACAGATGTGAGCCACAGCACCTGGCCTGCAGAACTTTATCACCATAAAAAGAAACACCTCACACATTAGCAGCCACTGCCCAATCTCCGCCCCCAGCAAGCCGCAATGTGCTCTACATCTCTCTGCATCAGCCTGTTCTGGCTGTTTTACATAAATGGGATCGTATGCTATGGGTCCTTTTGTGTCTGGCTCCTTTCACTTTGCTTGATGGTTTCAAAGTCCATCCATGTCGTGGCATGGTATCAGCACTTCATTCCTTTTCGTGGCTGAGTAATATTCTGCATGGATATACCATGCTTTATCCATGTATCCATGGATGCCATTTGGGTTGATATTTGATATTTTACCATCCATGTACTGACCACGTCCATATATTTATATGTAGGATCTTGTACTGCTTGAAGCAGACTCATGAGGGCAGGTAGTGTTATGACTTTACAGAGGAGGCATCTGTGACTCAGAGAGGTGAAGTGACTTGCCCAGGGTCACAGAGCAGGGATGGCAGATGTAGGGCTGAAAACCATGGCTCTCTGACCCCGGAGCCTGAGCAGCAGTTAATGATGTATTCTTTTGCCACTCCCAGGGACCTGTATTACCCTACAGCAGTGGCACCGCAGATCAAACCTGGCTGTGGCCTGCTGGAATCATTGGAATATTTTTTTTAAAAGATAAAACTGATGCTGGAGTCCTATCCTCAGACCATTTAAGTCAGAATCTCTAGAACAGCTGTTCCCAACCAGGGATGATTTTGCACCCTTTTCCCCAGGGGATATCCAGTCTTGTCTGGAGACAATCTTGGTTGTTGAGGGGTGGGGATAGTGGGTGTTCCTGGCATCTGATAGGTAGAACCCAGGGATGCTGCTAAACATTGTACAGTGCACAGGACACCACCTGCCTGCTGACCACAAAGAATTATCCTGCTCCAAATGGCAATAGTGCCAAGGTTGAGAAGCCTTGCTTTAGAACTGGGGCCCTGGGCCGGACACAGTGGCTCGTGCCTATAATCCCAGCACTTTGGGAGGCTGAGGCAGGCAGACTGCTTGAGCCCAGGAGTTCAAGACAAGCCTGAACAACATGGCAAAACCTTGTCTCTACAAAAACTATCAGGATGTGGTGGCACACACCTGTAGTGCCAGCTACTAGGGAGGCTGAGGTGGGAGGATCACTTGACCCCAAGAGGTGGAGGCTGCAGTGAGCTGTGATGCAACCACCGTACTCCTGCCTGGGTGACAGAGCCTCCAAAAAAAAAAAAAGAGGGAGGGCCTGGGTGTCAGAGTGTGTGTGTATATACACACACACACACACACACACACACACACACGCAACGCCCCTGGCCCACACTTTGAATTGGGAGACTAGAATATAGCTAATGTCCTATAGGCAGCTGGACTGGACTGTGACTGTTTTCTCTTTTTGCTATCTCTTTACATTTTCATTAAAAAAAGTTTTCTTCAGGTTTTTTTTTTTTTTGAGACAGAGCCTCACACTGTTGCCCAGGTTGGAGTGCAATGGCACGATCTTGGCTCACTGCAACCTCTGCCCATGTTTCAGCGATTCTCCTGCCTCAGCCTCCTGAGTAGCTGGGATCACAGGTGTCTGTCACCAAGCCCAGCTAATTTTTTGTATTCTTTTTAGTAGAGACGGGGTTTCACTGTGTTGGCCAGGCTGGTCTCAAACTCCTGGCCTCAGGTGATCCACCCACCTCAGCCTCCCAAAGTGCTGGGATTACAGGCGTGAGCCACTGCACCCTGCCGGGTGTATTTTTAACTTCCCATTCTAATTGGCCAGGGCTAAACAATGCTTCTCAAACTGAGCGCACAAGCATCACGTGGGTTCCTTGTTAAACTGCAGACCTGGGCTCCGTAGGCCTGAGGTGTACTGTGTGTCTAACAGGCTTTCCACTGATGCCAACGCCCCTGGCCCACACTTTGAGTTGTGAGACTAGAATACAGCTAATGTCCTATAGGCAGCTGGACTGGACTGTGACTGTTTTCTCTTTTTTCTATCTCTTTACATTTTCATTAAATAAAGTTTTCTTCAGGTAGGGAGGTAGGAAATGCAGACTTGGCAAAGGCTGGATCTGTTGGTTGCTGAGACTGTGAGGCTTTGAAGGGAGAAGCAGCGAGGCTGCCGCAGGAAAGACAGGAGTTGTGTTCACAGCATCGTGTGGTGATTCACAGCTCAACTGTCCGTGCCAACCTCCCGCCCAGCGCTGAGAGCTTGCAGCCCCTTCCACTGCCCAGCCCTCCTGGCTGCAAGCCCTGGGCTGGCTTCCCCAGTAGCAATGACTCAGGCTTTCCACCTGTAAAATGGGCGGGAGGCTCTTGCCATGGCCCCACCCAGCCCCGGGGCCAAAAGCCCCCAGCTGCTCCCCAGTTTCATCAAAGGCAGATCCTCAAAGCCGGGGACCTGCAGCTGCTGTTCTTGCCGCTAATAAATCTCGATTTGTGGCAGCTCAATTAGGAAGTCATCACAAAACTTTGATATTGAAAGAAAGGATTAATAACCCAGCCCACGTGGGAGAGAGTAGCAGCTTCTGCCAAGAGGTCTTTGTCATCTATCCTTGTAGCCAGCAGCCCCTTGTAGGGGCAGCGCTGGCAGGTGGGTCTCTGGGAACAGAGGGTGCCTGGGCCGAGCTGGGGATGGGAAAAGCCATTGGCAGATTTGTTTGAGTAGCTGCTGGGTGGCACTTTCAAGGTGGAGAATCTGGAAGCCTCTGGCTGGTGCTTGGCAACTCCTGAAATGTTGCCAAGTTCTTCTTTGCTCCATCAAGTGGTTCCAGCAGATGCAGGGGGATGCCGGCGGCCTGGAGGTCCGGGCAAGGCAGGAGGGAAGGGTTAGAAATGGGCCTTGGGCCTTACGCGGTTGCTGCCCAGGCTCCCGGATGGGGAGGTCCTCAGGTTCCTGGCATGGAAGGGGCTGGCTCTCTGCCCAGTTCTTTGGGCTTCAGGAGGAATGTCAAGAGCTCAGACTGACTCACCCCAGGGGGCGGGCCCAGCCTCTTGGCCCACACTGGAAGGAGAGAGGCCTGAGGAGGCAGGCCCTGGCTCTGGCTCTGGCTGGGATCTGCTGTTTGCCTGCCCTGGGAAGGTGGCTGGAGCGGGTCTTCATTCTTTTCTGCAGCCTGCCTTCTGTAATAATGGGTGGCTGGTTGGTTAGCCTAAGAGATTGGACTCTGGAGCTGGAGAAACCTGTTTTTGAGGGTTCAGATCTAAGCTTCACCATGTACCCTTGGCTAAGCAGTGACCTCACTTTCCTTAGCTTTGCTTTCTGCCCAGTTAAATGCAAATCATTTTAATACTTCCTTCCTCAGAGGGTTGCTGTGAGCATTCAAGTATAGCATCTTGGTTTAGCACTTAGCAGAGGCCTATCCTGTTCCTCCATTTTTCATGTATTACAAATATAGATGAGGACACAGATAAAATAGATGTATTGAGAATACGTATTGGGAAATACAGACATATCCATATCTGTCCACCCACCCGTCCCTCCACCCACCCACCGACCTGTCCATCCACCAACCTGCTCATCCACTCATCTGTCCACCCACTCACTCACCCACCCACCCACCCACCACTAAGTCCTCCTCCTAGGTTCCATAGGCTTACAGCAGTTCCGAAAAGCAAAGCCCGTCCTTCCTGGGCTTACATGCTAGGGGGAAAGATGAAGGAAGATAACCCAGTACAAGCTACATATAATGTATCTGAAAGTGAAAAGCTCTTTGGAGAAAAGCAAAATAGGACAGAGAAAGCAAAGGTGACAGAGAATGAGAGAGAGGGAACAGGACTGGGTACTGCTGCTTTACCTGCGGGAGGGGGTGGAGTGGGTTAAACAAGCCTCAGAGGTGACAGCTGAGTAGAGACCTGCAGGAAGTGGAGAAGGAGCCATGAAGGTAACTGAGGAAGAGAGACACTAAACGGGGCAGATGCTCCAAGGTAGGAGTGTACTGAGTATATCTGAGAGACAGAATGTTCTAGAAGTGTGGCTGGAGTAGAATGAATGAGGGAGAGTTCTAGAAAAGGACATCATGGGGGTAGATCTTGAATGTCTTAAAGACTATATTAAGTATCATGCATGAATTCCAAAGTCAGTATGTCTGAATCCTTCAGGTACTATATCCTAAGTTTAGCATACATGATGCCTTCAAGTTTTGGCTGACATCAAATGTACAAAGAAAGGATATACTTTAACAAAGGAAACCTCTGATAAAGAAGTTTATTTGCCTGTCCTTTGGAAAAGGATAAAGAAAATAAATTCTCATTTACCTGTCCTCCTTATAAGGACAACAGGCAGCCTCTGGCTTCCTATAAGGAGAACAGGCCTCTGTCCCTTGATTCATGAAAACGAAATGTGTTGTTAGGAGAAAATTAGCTCAAATGACTTAGAGAACTTTCACAGGGCATAACATTTGTACAGTCGTTGATTGTCAAGGGTGATGGTTCTACATTTTAGATAACAGGTGATACAGGAGGGCAGAGCATGTCATATCTCAGTACCATGAAATCAGACCTCCGAGTTTGAGCAGACATCTCATCTCCCTCATCATAGTGACCTTTCTCTTTTGCTTGCAGCCCAGCGATCTGCCCACGAGCTGCCCATGGTCGAAAGACAAGACACGGACAGCTGCCTGGTCTATGGCGGCCAGCAAATGATCCTCACAGGGCAGAACTTTACGGCTGAGTCCAAAGTCGTGTTTACTGAGAAGACCACAGGTTGGTGGATGTTGGAGCTCTTTCTCTGGCCCCTAGAACCAGACAAAAATGATTATCTCTTTCTTCCACATGACATTGGTTTGGGGGGAAGATCCTACCATCCAGTTTTATACCCTGCTCTTTTTACGCAACACGTCTCTAGGGATTGTGATGGCCACACTGTTCACCACTGTATGAATATGCCATTCTACATTTTAACTCATTCTAGGTCATTTTGATGGCTACTAACCTCACCCTCAACCCTTTTTAAAAAATTACTTTTTTCACATAAGGAAGGACATTTTAAAAACTTTTTGCTATTATCAAGAAGGGAGGCCAAACAGCATGGTGATCACGCATGCTCTGGCCCTGGATATCTTGGGTTCTGATCTGGCTTTGTTATCTGCTTGCTCTGTGATCTGAGACAAATTACCTAACCTTTCTGTGCCTTAATTTCCTCATGTACAAAATGATACTAGCAAGATTTTTACCCTATAGAGTTGTCATGAAGATTAAATTAGCTAATACATGTCAAGTAATTATAAAAGCACCAAGTACAGTGTAAGCCAATTAATATTGGCTACCTGGATTTTTATTATAAGCAGTTCTGCAGTTACTCATCTTAGACTTCTAGGATTAATTAATCTTCTTGTACATGAATATGTGTATCTTTTTAGTTTATTTAGGGTTTATTCTTAGCAGTGGAATTTTGGATAGTCATTCTGAGAATTTAAATATGTATTGCTAAATTACCTTCCAGAAATCTACAAATTGAAATTTCCATCATGTCAGCGAGAGTTTCATCCCATCCCAGAAATGCCATTTTTAAAAAATTAAGTTCTACGTTGCATTTCTTTGCTATGAGAGGCTTAGCGTTTTGTTTCTTCACCATGTGTATTCTTTGTCTGGTGTACTGTTGATGTCTTTTTTCAGTGGGTATGTGGTAAAAAAAGATGCTGATCTCAAGTAGGAAAGTATCAGCTTAAGCAATAATTGATGAAACAAATGTATGGTTAGAAGGAAATTAGCTCAAATAACTTGGGACACTTATTTTGGATACTAGGAACATTTTTTTTTTTTTTGAGATGGAATTTTGCCCTTGTTACCCAGGCTGGAGTGCAATGGCGCGATCTCAGCTCACCGCAATCTATGCCTCCTGGGTTCAGGCAATTCTGCCTCAGCCTCTTGGGTAGCTGGGATTACAGGCATGTGCCACCATGCCCAGCTAATTTTTTGTATTTTTAGTAGAGACGGGGTTTCACCATGTTGACCAGGATGGTCTTGATCTCTTGACCTTGTGATCCACCCACCTTGGCCTCCCAAAGTGCTGGGATTATAGGCTTGAGCCACTGTGCCCGGCTAGGAACAATTTTTTTTTCCTTAACTGACATGATTTCAGTAGGTTAGTTCAAAGGGGCATTGAGGTTTGCCTATTTGTTTCTTGTCTTTAGAACAATCTGAGAATATAATAGGCGAGTTGTCCAGTTGGAAGGACTGTGCCCTGTACAAGGGCGCCTCCTCTGAGGGCTGCCATTCAAATTGGATGCATCATCAGCTTACATATTAGTAAGGCAACTTCTGGCAGGTGGAAGCAGACTGTCTTAGGCAAAGTGTGCTTCTTCTGATCTCACACAAAGCCTCCTTCTGGGATGAGCTGGACGTGTGACCAGAGTGTGATAATTGCATTCTCAAAGTTGGAAGCATAACAGGTGGCAGAATTGATTTGAAAAGGGTTTAATGATCCCATTGCAAAAAAAAAAAAAAAAAAAAAACCTAAAAAACAGAAAAGTTATTAAGTAAGGCCATGCAGTGGGGAAGGGAGATGCAGGGAGGGTCCAGAGTGGTTTAGAAGGTAGGTGTCACTGAGGTTTGATGGGATGTAGTGGTGTAGAGAGGCATTAAGAATGCAGATGGCAGGGCCAGCCACCAGGCAGGCTAGGTGCCACCCGGGCAGCTCTGCTGCTCCCTGGCAGTTTCACCTGTGTGAAGTCTGCATCATCTATCCTGAACTGAAAAGCAGGAACAGTGACAGTGCCTACCCGCAAAGGTAAGATCTGAATGAACTAAAGCAAGTAGACTTAGCACCGGAAGTGTTTGGTAAGGTGCAGGGGCTGCTGTGGCTGGGGCCTGGGAAGAGGTTGAGTGTTGAGATTGTTCTGTTCCCGTGGTGCACTGAGCCAGCTGAGATTTAGCACAGGAGAGGCGGTCTGTTCAGGGATGAGGTTGGGCAAGGAGCATGGGTTCCATTTCGGAAGTGGAAGCATTGAGTCTGTTGTGCCCATGGGCCTTCTTGCATGAACGGTGATCTCACCTCTGTGGAAAGGTAAGAGATCCGGGAGGTACTCGACCACGTGGTCTAGACTAAGAAACCAGATCCTGGCTGCAGATATTGTCTTGGGAGCTGTCAGCAATGAGATCCCAGGTGAAGTCCTGGGAATTGGCTCTGACCTCCCAGGATGGCCTCCAGTGTGAGAAGGGGAGACTTAGAAAGCTGGGAGCCACATCCTTTAAAGGTGGCAGGGGAGGAGTTGCTGCAGTGGGAGGAGGAGAACTGGGGAGTCTGGGGCCCCGGAGATCAAGGGAAGGAGACATGGGAAGGGTCAGCAGAGGCAGTGCTGTGAAGGTCCAGTGAATGGGGGTCTCAGGTGATCCGAATCACATACACTCAGGTGGCAGTGAGTTGAGGAGTAATGTTGCTTGAGGAATTAGAGATGGAATGTAAACTCTACTCCAGGCAGGAAGGCTACACCAGCAGTCCCCAACCTCTTTGGCATGAGGGACCAGTTTCATGGAATACAGTTCTTTCCAAGGACATGTGACCAGGGTGTGATAACTGCATTCTCACAGTTGGAAGCATAACGCAGAATTGATTTGAAAAGGGTTTGATGATGCCATGGCAAAAAAAAAAAAAAAAAATACAAAAAAGGTATTAAGTAAAGCTGTGGCAGTAGGGAAGGTGGGCTGATGGTTTCAGGATGATTCAAGCACATTACATTTCTTGTGCACTTTATTTCTATAATTATGACATTGTAATATATAATAAAATAATTATACAGCTCACCATCATGTAGAATCAATGGGAGCCCTGAGCTTGTTTTCCTGCAACTAGACAGCCCTATCTGGGGGTGATGGGAGACCGTGACAGACTATCAGGCATGAGATTCTCATAAGGACAATGCAGCCAAGATCCCAGGCATGCGCAGTTCACAGTAGGGTTTGTGCTCCACTGAGACTCTAATGCCACGCTCATCTGACAGGAGGCGGAGCTCAGGCGGTCATTCGAGTGATGGGGAGTGGCTGCCAATACAGACGAAGCTTCTCTCACTCACCTGTCACTCACCTCCTGCATGTGGTCAGTAACAGTCTGTGACCCAGGGTTGAAGAGCGCCCTGGACTACACCACATTCTTGGCCTCAGCATTACTGACCATTTGGCCAGATTGTCACCGTGGGGGTCTGTCCTGGGCACTGTAGGATGTTCGTCAGCATCACTGACCTCCACCCTCTTGGTGCCAGTAGCACTGCCCAAGCTGTGACAACCAAAAATGTCTCCAGACCTTGCCAAATTTGCTCTGGGGATCGATATTGTTCCTGGTCAAGTACCACTGGTTTGCGGTCTAGAAATTTTCAGGAAGGGCAAGGAAAGGAAAAGAAGAGCATGAGGAAGAGGCAGGATCAGGGTCACCTTAGGCCTTCTCCTGTGCGGCTCAGCAGTGCAGGCTCAGCGGCTGATTGTCAGAATGCTTGCTCATCTCCCGAGGGGCCACCCTGCAAAGCGGGCTGCAGGAAGGAGGCCTGGCCCCTGCCTGCTTGGCCTCGAAGGACCGACCCAGCCACATGGGGCTCTGTTGGCTGAGTGGTTTCTGAAATCTTTTTGTATATATACTTTTATATATACAAAAAGTATATGTATCTATATCTATAGATATATACACACACTGAAATATTTTTGCATATATACTTTTAATCCTTTTTTTAAAAAAATAATGTTTTGAGACAGACTGGCTTTGTCACCCAGATTGGAGCACAGCGGCACAATCATAGCTCACTGCAGCCTTGACCTCTTGGGCTCAAGTGATCCTCCCACCTCAGCCTCCCAAGTATCTGGGACTATAGATGCGCTCCACTGTGCTTAGCTAATTTTTAAAATTTTTCGTAGGGACATGGTCTTGCTGTGTTGCCCATGCTGGTCTCAAAGTCCTGGGATCAGGTGATCCTCCTGCTTCAGCCTCCCAAAGTGCTGAGATTACAGGCATGAGCCACTGTGCCCAGTCTAATCCTGTTTTTTAAATATCAAGACAGCATGAACATCTATTCAGGTATTTAATACATATTCTTTGAGAACCTGATTTTATTTGTTTTGTTTGTTGAGACAGAGTCTCACTCTGTCACCCAGGCTGGAGTGCAGTGGTGCGATCTTAGCTCACTGCAACCTCCACTTCCCAGGTTCAAGGTCATTCTCCTGCCTCAGCCTCCTGAGTAGCTGGGATTACAGGCATGTGCCACCACACCTGGCTAATTTTTGTATTTTTAGTAGATAGGGGGTATTACCATGTTGGCCAGGCTGATCTCAAACTCCTGACCTCAGATGATCTACCTGCCTCGGCCTCCCAAAGTGCTGGAATTACAGGGGTGAGCCACTGCATCCAGCCCAAGAACCTGATGTTAAATGGATGCATTGTATTCCATCATGTTGATACTTGATCGAACCATTACCTTTTATTGGGTGTTAGAATCACTAGAGTTCACTATGTTGAACTCATTGTGTTGCCTAGAAGTTTAAGGCCAGCCTGGACAACATAGTGAGACCCCATTTCAAAAAACAACAACCAACATCCCATGAGCACTAAGTGCATGCTGTTCATTTACATATTTAACTCTAGGAAGGAATGCTTGTGTTCAAAACCCAGTGCCACTACTTTCTAGCCATATGACTTTGGGCGAGTTACTTAACCACCCTGGGCAGTGGTTTCCTCATCTGTATATTGAGGATGAAGACAGTCCTGCCCATACACTGGTCCT